GGCTGCGGGTGGGGCAGGGAGGGCGGGAGGCACGTACAATCAGGGGCAGGCCTGGGGTTGAGTTCCCGAGGGGGTCCTGCTGGGTCCTTTTCTAACTCAGTTGCTCCTTCCTATCCTGATGAGAGACGGTAACCAGGGTCAGGGGCACAGAGGGGAGAGAGCCAAGGCAGGAGGCCCCAAGGGCCGCTCCCTCACTCTCATGCAGCAGACCCTTCCCTGAGCCACCCACCTCCTTCTGCAACAAGGTTAGGCCTGGCTTGCCTTCTGGGAAAATGTCCCTGCAGGCAGGTGCCCAGGTTAAGTCCAGACTCGAGCAGGCTCGCTGAATCCTCCTGGTCTCAGTTTCCCCATCTATACAACCAGGGGTTGTGTTGGTTCTTTCCACCTGTGAGAGTCTCTGCTTTATGAGTCTGCACCCCTGTGGCCCCACACTGGCCACAAACTGAGGTTATGCAGACTCTCTGCTCTGGGAGAGGACGGCCAAGAGGCCCCTGAGCCTGGCCAAGGGCAGAGAAAGTCACAGCCTTTCACAGGACCACGGGGTCCTGGTCCTGGCCTGTGTCCTTAGTGAGGCTGCCCAGGGCAGGGTTCCAGCCCCCCAGCTCCAGCCCCCTCCCAGGCCAGCTTTATCTCAGTTGCTGATTTCTAGCCTGAGGCCCTTAGAGGACAAATTTAGCCACATCCAAGTAGGCAGAGTCCCCATCCCTCGCCAAGGGCCCCAGATGGTGGGGGGAAGGTGAGCACATCACTGGTTTCCCTGGGTAGGTTATCCAGGGATGCACTTAGCAGAAGTCTTGCCTGGAGATTAGGACCCATAGCTTGGGCTTTCCTGCCTACCGGCTGTGTGGTTTTTGGTAAGCCCCTTAACCTCTCTGAGCCTTAGTGTCCTCATCTGAGAAATGGGCACAATAACTGCACCTACCTGATACAGCCGTTGGAGCATTAAATGAAGTGATGCCTTAAAGTGCTTATCACCGTATTTAATAAGAGGGGCTGCAGAGGTGGGGTGCCTGGACAAGCCAGGGTCCCTGCAGCCTCTATTGGACCCTCAGTCTCAGCCTTCAGCAAGAAGCCACGGTCAGTGGAGGTGGCCGCCGGCAGCCCTGCCGTGTTCGAGGCCGAGACAGAGCGGGCAGGAGTGAAGGTGCGCTGGCAGCGAGGGGGCAGTGACATCAGTGCCAGCGACAAGTTTGGCCTGGCAGCCGAGGGCACGAGGCACACGCTGACAGTGAGGGACGTGGGCCCTGCTGACCAGGGGTCTTATGCAGTCATCGCGGGCTCCTCCAAGGTCAAGTTTGATCTCAAGGTCATAGAAGCAGGTAAGACCCTAGTCAGTCTTCCTTGAAGTTTGAACTTCTGGGGCTTTGAGAGGGGCAGCCCCACCACCTCTCCACTGCCCAAGGCATAAGAGGTGCTTTCCCACTCTCTTGCCTTTGCTTCGGCTGCGCCCTCTACCAGGAAAGCCCCCCCTTTTCTGAGACCAAGACTTCTCCGAGTGTCCTGGTGTGGCTCCAGCCATTGTGGAGGTGGGGGAAATTCAGAGATGAACAGTGCATAAGGCTGCCTCTGGCTGGACACCCACACACGACCTGCAGGCTGTGTGTCCCAGGGAAGCCCCAGGAGCTGCAGGCGTGGAGGGAGCCCAGCCTGGGGGCCTGGTCCAAGGCCAGAGCCTGGGGAAGCAAAGGAGGGATGGAGGTCAGAACTGGTCAGAGCAGACCCACCGGGCCCTGAGCACAGACGGTCGGAGAGGCGGGGGGAAGGCCAGGTGCAGGCTGACTCCCTGCTCTGTGTGAGCCACCCAGAGAGGGTGTCGTCCAAGTGAGATGCCTCACAGACAGTGGGTTCTTGGGCCTGATGCTCAGGAGAGATGGGGCAGAGGAGAGGAGAGGCTCCATGAGCTCATAGAGATGGTGGGTAGAAAGGGAGAGGATTTAGGGAAGAGACAGGGCCATGGGGGGTAAGAGAAAGAGAGGGACCAGAAGAAGCTCTGTACACACTGTAGTATTTAATGAGTCTACAAAGAGTAAGGAGAGACCAGGGGCAGTAGGGGTCTCTGGTTAGAAGCTGCTCCACCACCCCCTGCCCCATCCCCTGCAGAGAAGGCAGAGCCCATGCCAGACCCTGTCCCTGCCCCTGCCCCTGCCCCTGCTGAGGCTCCTGGAGTTCCCGGAGAAACCCTGGCTTCAGCCACTGAGGCAGAAGGA